TTAACACCCTCCTGTTTATAGAAAGAGAGAACGATTCTTTGAGAAGTCCCAGGGCTGATCAGAAATTTTCAAGGTTTCCTTCTTAAGTGAAAAGAAAGACTTTATCCAGGTTCTGAACCTTAGGACAAGTTTGTTAAAAATATCAAAAAGTTTTAAAACACTTGGTCAAATAGGAAACAATGCTTAGTTATCCATTCAATCAAGGTGACAACAGAAGATGTCAAAGGCAAACTGAGAGTTAAAAGAGTCAAAAAACCTTAATAGAGAAACCTCAGTCTTTCTGAACATAGGAAATTATTTTAACAAAACATAAATCTTCTATCTTTAGGTAGACTTACTTAAAAATAAAGAAAAGCCTCTTGTAACCTCTTCATCAAGAGCAGACCAAAAGTTTAAGAAAATTACCTTTTGAAGACAGAAAGTCAAATTCCAACTTTCTACCATTTTACTTTTGATGTTGAAATTCATTCATTTTAATCTCAGCAAACTTGACCATTCACAAAACTCCTCGGGCTTTTATTTCCACAAACCTTCTGTCTCTTACTTTTTACATTCAGAATTTGTCCCATGCCTTCCTTTCTTTCCTAGTACTTTAGGACAAATTTATCTTTCTTAACACAACAAACAAAAATATCTCTATTCTTTATACCTTTTTTACTGAAAACATACTTCTACTTTCCCTGTATACAGACTTTCCAGAAATAGGTGCTTTCTCATAGAAAATTTCTCAGCATGCAAAAAACATGTTTATCAATAAATCTAAGCATCTTTCAGTTTCTTTGAGATAAGAGACCAGAGGCAGACAAATTTATGCTTAGTAATCAATTGCTAATATTTTATCTGATTCCCAAGAATTGTTTAGATTTCTCACAAAACGTCATGTGACATTAAAGCAGTTAGTGGGGCTGGCCCCGTGGCCGAGTGGTTAAGTTTGCGCGCTCCGCTGCAGGCGGCCCAGTGTTTCATTAGTTCGAATCCTGGGCGCGGACATGGCACTGCTCATCAGACCATGCTGAGGCAGCATCCCACATGCCACAACTAGAAGAACCCACAACGAAGAATACACAACTATGTACCGGGGGGCTTTGGGGAGAAAAAGGAAAAAATAAAATCTTTAAAAAAATAAATAAATAAAAAAAAAATAAAGCAGTTAGCAATCATCTTAAGTTTTTTTAGTATATGCATCATAACACATAATTGTTGTTAAAAAGTTCCCGCAAAACTTACCCTTTTCACATATATTCAGTTTACTTGTTCCCAATAATTATATTTAGATTGCCTACAAAAACCTCACAAGACATCAGACAAAATCAGCTATTATTTTATTTTTTGCTGAGAAACTTTGTAACAGAGATAGCATGCTTGAGTCATATCCAATGCTGACAACTCTGAAAACATATTTATTTTAATCAAAGAAACAAACAAACAAGCTTTCATTTACCAAAGATCATTTGATGTCATGTTAACCTGAAAGGCATCTGGGCTAGTTTCTATTACATTTAGAAATAAGTTATAAAAGTGTTTACTCCAAGCCAATTAAACAGAGCTCCTTTAGAAATTATATCTTCTGGAGGCAGAAAAATACTATAGAGACAGATAGACACAAACAGAGATCTTCAAAATTTTAACCAGGTCTCAGGAACAGAACTCAGAGGAATGGTTGGATCCAAACTATTTTCCTGGCAGGTGGACCTGCTCAGAGGGCCAAAAATATTTCCTAAAGATTCTTTTTGTTGTTGTCATAAGGATCATTTTTACAGCTCTTTTTGAAACAAGTTTGTCTTTTAGAAGTTTCTGCATATTAATCAAAGACTGCATCCCATCATGAGAGGTTTTGAATCCTCTCTTATCAGGGTGACCCTATAAGGTGGCCTCGTCTGAACCAGAGTTTCCCCAGAATGACCATTATAATTCCAAATTATCTTAAAAGTTTACTTACTTGCAGTTGCTTAACTTTAGATCAGGAATTTCAGGGCAGTTGAAGTGGGGAAGTTCAGCAAGAGAGGAGATTTGGTGTTGTTTCACCAGCATGTTTAGTTATTTTCTTTATAGGGCAGTGGATTATTCCTGATTTCATTTGGAAGCTTCAAAAGATTAAAATAGGCTTCCCATTGGTTGTTTAATTTTAGAGCTCACTTTTTCCAATTGCATATGTAAATACACCAGTTTGAGTAAACCAAAATTGTCCCATTTTGGCCATTTTCTCTCTAGAGTCTAAATAATGTTGTGGCCATGTGGTGTTATGAAAGAAAACTATCTTCTTCCTGGGCATGGGTTCACAGCTGAAGTCAGCCCATTTAGCCAAGAGGTATCCCAGAGGGCTTTTCTTGGGGTCAGATGGAGTCCCCCCCATTTCAGAATTACAAACATATAGACATTCGGACACAGATGGGTTTCCAAACAGAACAGACAAGTGCACCCAACAGATTCCAGGTAGTCCTACACTATGTCTCTTGTTAGTTGATGCCCAGACTCAGGTGGGTCTATCCCTCTGGGATTTCTCCTACAAGAGACAGGGAGTGCAAGACAGGCCTGACTGAAGTGGCTTACCCCACTCCAGATTGAGCTCATTGACTCACCAGAAGCAAAAACAAACAAACAAATCTAGAACCTGTTTCATTTCTTCAGCCACAGGGAAGCCTTGGAGGCAGTCACCAAGTAAGAGAACTCAGGGAACCGTGCCCGGGAGAAAGAAAGCCCCAGCAGCTACTGGGAGAGTCTCAAGACTTCTCCTGGAGTTGAACAGTCACCAGCAGAGGCGCGTCCCATCGGGGTCACCAGAAATTTATAACTGAGCAAAATGGGGTTCCTCCTGCTTGCCACAATCCGGTGCCTATCAATTGCACATGAGCTGGTGGTTGAGAAAGGAGAATTTATATGATTATCCAGCATGATAGAAAGATGGCAGACTAGTGTCCCGAAGAACCATCTTCGAATCAAGCAGAACCGTGAGGCAGTTATATAGGGGAGATAGGCACGGAAGGAGGGGCATTAGGGATGTCAACTATCTGGTGTGACGAACTTCAGGGCACCACATCATCTCTTTTTTCTGCCATTTGTGATGGGCACCAATGCAGAAATTTTCCTTTTGGAGATCACGATGTTCCTCAGAACTCAGAGAACAAAGTTGTCTTATCACAGTTGAGAGATATACGTAAGTGAGAGTCATAGAAACAGCAGATCATGTATTTAGCAAAAGCCATAGGTGCTTAATCATCTAGGCAACATGCAGGCCAGAACGTATCCACAGAGACTAGTGAGTCAGGTCATAGTTACAAGATTCTGCCTGAACCTAAGATGGCTTCCCTCACCGTAACTCAAGATCTAGCTGCTACAGAAGCAGAGGCATTAGAGGAAAGTCGGAAATGGTCGTGTTAGTACTACTGGCTCAAATCCAGGAGCTTTTTTCCTCAGTAATTAAACTTTCTGATAATTGTTAGTCTATTTTTCTATAGGATAAAGATTACAATTTATATTAATGAACATATATAAAACTCTGCTTGAGTGAGAATTGCTAAAGAATATTATCTCAAAAGATAAGCAGTAAGTGTTTCACTAACAGAACAATTAAGACAAGACCAAATTAGATATTCCAAGTTCTACAGTGGACCCCGGTGTGTGTAACTGAGGGTATTTAGGTAAATTGGGAGAATTTAGATTAGTGAGACTGCATATTATGTCATCAGATGAAACTAGTGAATAGTTCTTATTGTCATTTAGGGTTTGCTAAACACTGTGTGAATTCTAGTATGAAAAAAGACAAGGGTTTAAATTCCTTAGATAGTGCATAACTCGCAAAAATAGCAGTAATCATGAAATCTAACCATACTCTGCAGCTAGTTTTACACAACCCCTCTCGTTCAACATTGTAAGAGAGGTGTCGCTCCCAAAACATTTCTTCAAACTGCATTAATATGCTTTAAGTGCTAAACAGAATTTTTGCTATCAAACTGATCAATACTTGCCAATGGGAATATTTCTCCTGTTTTTTATTTTTCTCTTGTTTTTTCATTCTGCTTGTTTTTTCAGTGGAATTGGCTTTCTTTTCCTGTGTTTACTAACTATCCTCCTCCTTTATTTTATGAATTGCTTGCTATTATTTGGTCATTTTTCTAGTACTATGATGTGTAAAAACTGTTTTTATATTGAAAAGAAACAAACAAACGAAAAGCCTATCTATTCCTTGTCAAATCTGTTGTGCATACTGTTTCTTTTTTGTCTTTGACTCTGGTTATGGTATTTTATTCATATGGAAATTTTTATGCAGACGAATTAAAAAATCTTTTTCTCTGTGTTTCCGGGTTTTGCTTTCATGCTTAGAAAACCTTCCCTTATTCTAAGATAATAAACCACATCTTATATTTTTTTCAGTTATGACATCATTTTATTTTTATAACATTTAAATGTTGCTCCATCTGAACAGCAAGGCTAGTGAAGATGAAAAAGAAGGCTGTGCTGATTTTATTATCTAGAGTGGGCAATTTGAATTTTTGTACCATACTTCTGATATCTTTCATTGGTTTGTTTTCAGTATTTTTATTTGTTCACATGAAAATATTTATTTGAATTTTACTGTCTAAGATAAAACTCTGCAGTAAATGTAAAAATTGTTTGCCTGATTGTTATATTCCATTCAGCACTAAAGAATTATAGTGAAATTACAAAGCGCACCAACCCAGGAATTAGTAAACACACAGGTTCTAGTCCTACACCTGCTGTTTGCTAATTGTTGGCCCTTTGACCAGTCTTTCTTCTCCCCAACTTAGAGTCCCTGCTAGAAATGAGCAAGATCCAGACAGGACAATGGCTCTTTAAATCCATACTGTTTTATTGTACCTTAAAAAGCATCAATTAGTAGAAAACTGGCTTCTTGCCCAGCTTTATTGTTGGAGTGCAACCTCCCAGGGAAATTGACCTTGTCTTGCCACGTCTGATAACAGGAACCCATTTGTTTCAAACTCAGGACAAAATCAGCCACTCAGTCCTGGCATTATTGGTTTTTTGTCTGTTCTCATGAAGGACTTGCTTTCTGCCTCTGGTTTCTGGCATTCACATTGCATTAAGTTGCCAACTTCACTTTTAATAATATCTCCATTGCATGCTGAACTTGCCCAGGATTCTGGAAGCTCCTGAGAGACTGGAGGACATCTGGGTCTCACATGTTAGTCTGCTCTCACCCAAGACAACCGTGTTCCGCTTCTGCCCGCTGACCAAGCAGCGTCCTTTTGGAAAATTACTTTATGCTCTTCATTTCTCCAAACTTTCCTTGGATTTGTGTATCTATTCAAAGGTAAAACTGGGGACTGGATTAGATAATTTTCAAGCTTCCTTTGGTTCTGACAGAGTATGATTTTATAAAACTATATTTGAATCAGTGGCTCTAATCTTTTTTAAACATTCATAGACTTTTTCCCTAATGCAATTATGATTTCATTTTCTCTTTAAGGAACCTAGTTCATCTTGGGCATTCTTCTCTTAAAGAACCAAAAATGATGATTTTTAATCACAGGTCTTGCGTTCTAAATTGCACTGTCTTTATTTGTAATTTTACCCGATCCATGTAACTAAATTAAATCTGCAGGAATTCATCGAGTGAAAAAGCTCATTGCTGGCATCCTCGGGTATAAAACATAACTGAAAGGCACTGTTTAACTTTAAGGAGGTTATAATATGTTTAATACTCCAAAATTATATTATTCTCATTCTTTTATTTTATATATTGTTTCCAATTTTTTCTTCTATTTTATTCTATAGCGGTCCACCTATTCGTTTATCATTTTGCTGAAGATTTGCCTCACTCTATCTCTCTTTTTATAATAATCCAGTTAAGTATAAACTTCCTGTAGCTCAAAAGGAAGAGACATAATTACTTTGAAATGACCTAACTGACCTAATTCCAGGTGTCTTGTTCTTCTGTATCAAATTCCTCTGACACTGCTCATATTTGTTTTGTGACTTATGTTAGGACCCTAGCAAATAAGAAGCTAAAGAAATAGAAGAGGAAGAAGAAAGAGGAGGAGGAGGAGGAGAAACACCAGGAGATATTGTCAAATTCTAGAGTAGGAGAAAAGAAACATCACTTCATCTCCTTAAAATTTTTATTTTGTTCCTAAACTAAAGCCATCACAGAGTGTTACAAAAAGCATCTTTCTTTTACAGAATGACCTTGAGTATGTCACAAGGTTTTTCTTCCTCTTTTTCACAGTAAAAGAACTTCAAAGCTCCTTAAATTTCATAAGAAATTTAATTATATTTTGTCATCAATAATTTATGGTTCCAAATTACACTAAATTGGCAGCTGCTGATGTGAGGTGCGAATGAAATCAGGCCAATTCTAACCAAATCAGGCATAAAATTATATTTTAATAAACCTCGATTCCACTTCCTGTTACCCTTTTCTCTTTATCACACATGCCTGAGCTGCATATAATTTGTGTACACAGATGCTGAGTTTCATTGCTTTGGCAGTTTAGAAACCTGACTGTTGAAAAGAAGATGTTAGTGTAGACAGGCAGACACCACTGAAAGTGAACACACACACACGATGGTGATGGGAAGCTGCTGGTTAAGAAACAGCTAAGGAGCCAAAGCAGAAGAGACCATGTAACGTGTACGTATTCAGCTTCTCTGTGCTCCTTTGTGGGGTTAAAAATTCAGCCAGCCTGCTAGCTTTTGCACTAATTACTTATATAACAGGAGGAACTAAGGAGACGCAATGGGGAATGTAGCCTTTAGGCGAAAGAAAGGTGGTAAAATAAAGTCAGCATATCTCCTTTTATAGAAAATGGGAATCTAAAACTTACTATCAGAGAACTGTAACACCATCTCTTAAAAATGTACCTGCCGGCTGGAAATCGTGAATAGCAAGCTAATGGTGGTGAAAAAACCCAAATCTCTTACCATTTCCTCAAAAAAAAACAAGTAAACAAAACTACATAAATTCATGCTTTTAGCATAACTAGAAGATAATGACCAAATTTCAATCACCTGTAAATAGAATAATAAACCCGACTCAGCAGAGTTCTCTCTTATCCTCTGCCCAAGCCTTTGACGGCAGAGAAGAGCGGTCCAGGGACACGGCAGAGACAGAGGACGGGGAAGGAGCTGCAGGATTAAGAGGAGGTGACCTCTTCAGGGCGAGCAGGTGCAGAGGGTCAAAAGGAGGGCACTCATTCATCCAAAAAAAGATAAACTTGGCAACAAGAAAAAACAAGAAGTATCATGAAGAATATCTAAAACTTAAAAGGGCCAGCACCCCGCCACACCACTGCTCCTGCCTCAAAAAGGCCATATTTTTGGACTAAAAATAATCCATTGATATTTCTTAATCTACTCAATTATTTCAAATGAAAATGCCGTTGTAAGAAAATGTGCAGAAAGTGCAAGGAAAATTTTCAAGAAATCCACTAGAATCATTACTAGGATAACTACTACTTCAAGCAAAGTCGTTAGAAAGCAAAATTCCAAAAAAAATGTTTGAACTCTGCAAATTTGGGGCAATTGTTTATTTTCAAAGTATGAAGAAATAAATGCACCACGCCTTCCATCGGCCCCAGGGCATCTTCCTCGGTAGCTTTGAACCTCCCGCCTCATCTCAGCTCAAAACGGGCCCCACGCAACTGTTCCTGCCCCTCTGGGGGTTCCTGCCCCTGCTCCCGCTGCTGCCCAGGCAAAGACGGCAAAGCCACCTGCTGCAAGAAGCGCCCCTGCGAACGCTGCCCGGGGGCGCCCCACATGCCCAGAGCTGCGTCTGCGGGGCCTCGGCCCGCCCGCCGCTGCACTGATGTCAGGAGCCTGCGCCCGATGGAAACAGGGCAACGTGCACACACACATGCAAACACGCGCAGACCTGCTTTTCTCATATACTGCTCACCCGTGTGCAACATGCCCGGGTCTATGAAATATGTGAATTCTAATAAAAGCTGTTGATAAAAAAAGAAATAAATGCAAGTTTTTCTGAGAAGGAACGAAGGAGCTGTGCTTTGCTACCGTGGCGTGCGCATGCGGAGCGTTTGGTAAACCGTCCGAGCCATAAGCCACAGCAACGCAAAGGAACAAGCAATTTTCACTCATAGAAAACTCCATAAAAGGTAAGCAGAAAGTAGGAAAGAAAGCAATTCAACTTGCAGAGTAAAACTAAGCCAATTAGATAGACTTCACCAAGCATTTGAGGGATGTTAGCAAAAAATAGAAACAGAAATAGGGATAAACCATAAAAAGAAAAATGAGAGCAGACTGAACTCAGAAAATGGAAGAAAAAGACAAACGAATGTCTGAAGTGATAAATAAATTCTAAGTTTTCTATCACAAGACCTGAGAGAAAACTTAGTAACGGCAATGAAAGGAAAACAGTAAAACAACCCAAAAAATGATGTAAAGAAATAAAGAAAAAATGGTCAGAGAGCATGCTTGAAACGGAACACAGGAAAAAAGATCCAGCATATGTTTAACTGGATTCTCTGAAGAAGGCAACCAAATTGAAAGAACAGAACTAATATTGAAAACCAGGACCCAAATTTTTCCTAGAAATCAAAGAAACCCGGATCTACATATGGAATGGGCCAAGGAAGCACAGAGAGAACTGACCTGCCGAAATCTGTTTTTAGACATTTCATAGCAATTCTATTAAACTTCCTAGTTAAAGAAAATTTCCTCAGGGACTCCTGGCCAGAATAGCAAATAACTAAAAAGGATGAGAGAATTAGAGTGACATCAGACTTCACCAGTGATGGGGCGTTTTATGAGGCTTGTTCACAGAAAGACTGCATCACTGATTAAAATCTGGCTTAGCTGTCTTCCAAGTGTCGAAGCAAAAAGCAACGTCTTCACTCAGGTGATCAAGGAATGCTCTCCCCGAGTCCTTCTCAAGCAGCCTAGTGGAGGCAGCGCTCCATCCAACCAGGAAATGACTGGTGAGACTCCAGCAAGAACATGCACGGTAATTGAAGACCACAACAAGGAGGGGAAAGAGTAAAGAAAATTGTGTTGTATGCTGTACAATACGTCATATTTTGTGTGTTATATGTTATGATGAAGCAGAAGTAATATAGTTGAAATAGGAGAAGAGAGTAAAGAGAAATACTGAATAAGCTTATGAATTTCCAAATAGGTAAAAGGTTGTAGTTAAATATTATTTTAAATTGACAAATGGGATTGTAAAAGGTTAAATTAGGAAACAGAAACAAAGTGTATTTTAAAAGGTACAGATACAAAGGTAATTACTAGAACAAAAAATTAAGCCATCCTAAATTCAAAAAGAAATTTCAATAAATAAAAGAGCAAAAAAGTCACATCGATAAATGCAGAAGGTATAGCATAATACACTTAATAATTATACTATAAAAATATTATGACAAAGCCGATATTGAACAAAACATGTATTGTGCATAGTAATAAATCTAAATGGACCTAATTTGCCTATAAAAGAGAGAAAAAAGATAAATTTAGCTAACAAATCAAAACCTAACTGTAAGACACATAACTATAAGAATTGAATCTAAAAGACTAAATAGAAAAGTATGGAGAAATGTATTCTGAGAATTGGAAACAACAGGAAATACAGGGTTGTTACAACAGTAATAAAAAAATTAGAAGGGCTGCCCCTTGGCGTAGCAGTTAAGTTCACATGCTCCACTTAGGCGGCCCGGGGTTTGCCGGTTCAGGTCCTGGGTGCAGACCTACGCACTGCTTGTCGAGCCATGTTGTGGCAGACATCCGGCATATAAAGTGGAGGAAGATGGGCATGGATGTTAGCTCAGGGTCAGTCTTCCTCAGCAAAAACAGGAGGATTGGTGGCAGATGTTAGCTCAGGGCTGGTCATTCTCAAAAAAAGAAAAAAATTAGAATTTAAGTAAAAAGACACTAAAAGTGAGAAAAAACAATTTTAATGCTAAAATACAAAATTTGCTAAAGAAATATAGCATTTATGAATTTCAATGCACCAAATATTACAGCAATCACCTTATAAAGCAAAAAATCATGAGACAAGGAGATATAGATAGAAACACTATGAATAGCAGAAATTAATAGCATTCATAATATAGGACAGATACGGTAGGGGGAAATAATTAAAGATATATAATAACTGAAGGACATAATTGATAAAATAGATAATACAGATATATATATATATATATATATATATATAAAATTATACCATGAAAATAGAACACACCTTCTCCTGGAGTTTCCTGAAATTTTACCTATTAAGTCATAAAAGGGACAGCACCATGTTCCTTAGGCACAAATGACCCAGACAAAACTGCCGGATCACAGTGAAGGACAGCTGGA